GTATTATGAAGAAGATATATCAATGTCACTTCAACAAATTGTGTATTTTGAAAAACAAACTAACCACACGATCGCTATATGATTTCTTCAGTTTGCCCATTTGAGTGGTCATCTTTACCCTAAAGTGAATTTCATTACTGTCCTAAAAAAGAAAAGAAATGGAACGGTGAAGCCGGTATCCGAACATTGGAGAAATTTGTAAATACATGAAATTAACTACAGGACTCCTTACGTTTCCGACAACTTTGAGCTTTATGTATTCCGAATTCGCGTCGCCTGGGCCGGCTTCGGGTTTTTGTTCCTAATACACAAGGTTAGACCGATTAGACTCGAAATACGACTGAACATCCGAGTGTTACGCCGCATTTATAGCGTGAATTGTTCGCTAATGGAATGTTTGTTAAAATAAGAAAGCTTACCTGATTATCGGACATGGTAATTAATTAAATATAACAATTCTTGACCACGCGCCAGAACAGTAACCAAACACAAGCACGCAATATGGCGCCGCGCTTTTGTCAGTTTCACAGTCTTCTATTCTAAAAATAAAAATTTTAACGTTCAGCGGGTACATTCGTTCGCGAAGACATCAGTTTCTGACAGCTTATCTTCAAATCGAATTTAATATTTAAAATTAAACCGTTTATTCATCTAGCCATTGATATTCTTGTATTATTTATTAAAAGCTTAATATTTTTGGACGTAACAGGGGACTTATTAACTAGAAAGACTTTTTTCTGTTCAAAATATCATATTTCGTAGTTATGGTACATAAGCTTTTTGTTCAAATTCATTCTTATCACGTACAATTATAATAAATATTTTGTATTTCCACAAACGTTATTTGGCGAAATTATTGAATCAAAGAAAAATATAGACTTAAAATGAATTACTATCAACCGTTGAGACCACGATTGGGACAATGACTAAAAGATCGCAATTGTAGTGTGTTCCGAAAGTTTAAAAATCGAATCAGTATAAGTCTCAATGTAAATTGGTTACGAATAAAATGTGAATTATATCATTCATTACATAAGAATCGGATTTGATGATCCCTCGCTCTTATGATACAATACCAAAAGATAAGTTGAAGCACCTAGCAAATTCTATAGTACGTCTAATCATAGTCGTCATAGTACATATGCCATTAATGTTGTGACGTGTTATTTTTTTAACCAAATAAATACCGAATTAATCCTGAAGATTGGCTGAAAACGTACAGATACCTTAGGTAAATGTTACTTATTTAAGTTCTATCCGTCGATTTACTACTAGACTTGTTATAATCATGAACCGAGGAGGTTATGTGCATGTCGTTCGGTGTATCCTGTGCTACTAAAAACTACCGATGATACCATTAATTTTTTAAACCATAGTAATAATTTTGAAAAATATGATGATGTAAACTATGAGTGCAGATTTACTGTTTTATTTGAGTTTCGAAATTTATTATCTAATATGATGACCCGAATGATACTTGGAAAATCTTATATTTTACCAAGAATTTTACCTTGAATTTGTATTAATAATTATCTTTTTCAATACAATAAAACAGTGGTTTCTTCACTTCCATCTTCAAATAAAAATTATCGTATATTTAATGTGAAATGTATTTTAATATTTAATATTACGATTTGTATTACTTCTTTTTTACTAATGTTTTACGTTTCTAAATTATGCTGTTTACTTCCATCAAGACTTACTTATGATTTGATAATATACGTGATATAAATATTTATCACGATTTAATAGTTCGGTTAAAATTGTTGATGCAACTGGAATTTCTTCCCAATAATGTAGTGAACTAAGGAGGAGGGAAATTTCATTTTGCAGTTTAAGATTGAATAAAACGTTTGTTATAAATTCACAATTGAAACAAACATTTGATTCTTTTCATTGAAAAGGTAAAATGATGCAAGATGAGCATCTGGGTGGTCCTGCAAAAAGGAATATTTTTAGTCAAGCAATAGGAAGAATTTCACAAGTACGTACTTTCTCTTTTTCACGTAGCATACTGATAGATTTTAACATTTTTTAATCTGCTAAATTATAAATGCGTTTACATTTCAGGTATATCAAAGATACTTGGATCTGTGGACTCCTCACGTAATATCAAGATGGACGGTTGCTTTGTTACTAATATTTGTTTTTATTCTCCGTATATTTCTTTCACAAGTAAGTCTGTTTCTTAAATGTTGATCTGAACTAATGTAAATCTTTCAGAATTATTGTTTGCACTTTATCTATTATGTATTATCTTTCTAGGGATGGTACATTGTCACATATGCACTAGGAATTTATCACCTAAATTTATTTATAGCATTCCTTACTCCTAAAATTGATCCTGCAATGGATTTCGATGGCAAGTAGTTTTTAAAATAGTACATTTGGAGATTACTGTTCATTACCATAAGATAAAACTAAGTATAGAGATAAGATAAAATGGATTAAAAATTCGACTGGAAGAGCATGTTCCTATTTCATTTGTAGCTTCATTTTCAAAATAGATTCTTAACAGAAATTTCTTAATAGATGGTGAAGGACCCGAGTTACCTACTCGATCGAATGAAGAATTTAGGCCATTTATTAGAAGATTGCCCGAATTTAAATTCTGGTATTCTGTGATGAGGTCTACAGTGATCGCAATGATATGCACTCTGTTCGATTGCTTCAACATACCAGTATTTTGGCCCATACTTGTTATGTATTTCATAACGCTGTTTTCCATTACTATGAAGCGTCAAATAAAGGTAGAGAATATTTCTCTATGTTTTATTTATTACATATTATATATATTCTCTATTGATGAGATTGAAAATAATCGACGTTGAATTTGTTCGCAGCATATGATCAAATATAGATATCTGCCTTTCACTCACGGAAAACCAAAGTACCAGAACCACGAGAACACTTCGAGGTTAATACCTTCAAAATGAATAGGTGTGAAGTATGTTTGTTGATGAGCTGCATAAGTGTGTAGATTTCTATTTTCTCAGTATCTCACATGTGGAAAATGAAAATAATGAAATTCCTTCGATTTGAGAAAAAAATGAACAACAGTCGGATTCTTTTGTCAGTGACTCTTTAAAAATATGAATAAGATCGAAACAAGATCATTGCCTCGTACAAGAGAAGGTTTAATCCATGGAAAAAGTGTAACGCTAAACAAAGTATAATGTATGGTATATAAACTGAATTGTCGTAATATATTTGTATCATAAAACTTGTACAAAGTATTGTTAGGTCTTACATAAACGTGGGCACGGTAACAATATGAACAGTACAGCAGTTGTTAATGTAATATTAAATGACTATTGAATGTAAAGAAAACAAAAAACAAAGGTAATTCATACATATAAGATTCGTAATCTCAATAGTAGAACCATTTTACTCTCGTATTTTTATTTTTTTTGTCTTAGACACATTTTGCTCATTCGTTACGAACATTCCATGTACAAGATTACGCTTCCTTGTTTCTGGTGTGTGTGTGTGTATATATATATATATATATATATATATATATACTCATAATATCTAAAATCTTTAGTCGACATTTTTATTCCGTTCATTTCTTTCAATAAGTGAAAATAGTATCATTTTTGGTAAACATCGTAACTAGTCCCGTATTTAATAATTATTACATATTTTTAACGTAATCGAACTCGATAAAAGTTTTCCTTTACTAAGAAGGAAACCGCGATCTATTTCGATCGTTTATAAGTATATACGTATAGCTCAGTAATAAACGGCATTTAAATCATTTCTATTGACGCGCATGTATCACCGCGAAACAATTTAGTCCAATTTAGTTCAGCATGAGGCAAGCTATCTTAATAAAACTTATTACATCGAGTATAGGTACATAGTTTAAAACGACGATACATCGAACAACGCGTACCATTCACAACCTCTTTAATTTTTCCTCTATAGCTTGTATATACGAAGTTACTTAATAAACAACATTCACGGGTCGCCTAACGCATTGGTGAAACAAAATAACTATTAAGTAATATTCTACAGGGGTAATTCTATAAGGTCCAAAGATCGTTCGTCATTTTCATATGCGTATCTCGCATCGTATTAATTCTCCAAAATTAGAGGGAATGACATTAATCACTTTATTTATTAAGAAATCGTCTTTGTAAATTGATTTGAAAACTTTATATTGTACACGCAGACGTATATCATTCAGGAAATGATTTTTAAATTATACATTTGACTCTATGGATATTAAGTGTGTTCTTTGATACATATTATATTTTCATTTTTCTAACTTTTCGATTCTTTTAAGTATCATTAACATCGGACTGGTTTAACTTGTGTTAAACTCGAATCTGTACAAAATGCAAGCTCGTTTAATTATACAATTGAACGTGAAAATAAAGTTCTATGACATATCAGGTACCGTTTCTTCGGTCTCTTACCTAATCAGTTACGTTTCAAGGATAGTTACCGTTTCGGATCTTTGGACAAAACTTTGAACCCCGAATAACGCACTCCCTTGTTACTTCTGGGCATATTTCTCTCTTTCTGATTTTATATATATATACACACTTGTATGTTTCCGTATATTTATAGTCGAGACTAATCACTTTTAAAACGTACAGCCTTGATGATTGTAACGCTTTTTATAGTTCTTTTACGTATATTAAATGCTCATACACGTACAATTTTCTGTAACACGTTTTATAAATCTCGATACATGTAAAATACGATATTATATAATCGTGTCATTGGAGAAACGAAAGAAAATTTAGCGACATGTACGCGAACTTGGAAGTACAATGTTACGTCCAAGGTTTTATGGAAGAAATTGTTATTCACGATATATTTTCGATATTCAATAAAGCTTTCACGCTTGCAGTGGAGTCGAAATGAATAATGTTTCCATTAACACAGTTTGTTACAATAATAAATACTATTTCTTATTTGAATCCGTTGATGCAAGTACAATCTTCGTCTCACGAATATTTGTAACTATATATCTATACGCTTGTTTTTCGCTTTATTAACATTAACGTTTTCTGACACTTCTTTTAAGACAAAGCAATTTTTTCCTTCCACAGGCAATGTTATTCGTTATTTTAATCAGATTTTTACTCATGCATAAATGCATCGAATAATCAACGAGTCAGGCTTAGCAAACGAAATCTTGTGTTCACGTATACTTCCGTGTATATACGTTATGTACACTTATTTTTATCTACGATTTATTGAAGGATGACTTTTTCTTTTATGTAATTGAATCCGCATTGAGTATCTCGACACGTACGTAAGATCAGGAGAGTGCACGGTTCCTTTGCAATTTGAAACTGGGTAGAATAACAAAAAATTACCGTATTTTATTTTAGCAGTATTATTCAATTTCTCAGTATAACAATGCGTCGGTATATTATAATTTTTACCCAGTTTGGATTGCAAGCCCTCTCTTATCGCTAATTATTTTTACGTTACAACTTCAAAGTTGATTTCGATTTCGGATTGTTCAATAATGAAACCGATGAAACAACGACGACAAAGGAAAAGAAATTCTGACAAACTTTTCTTTTTTACAGGAGTCCGCTCGTGGAAGTTTGATGACGGGGTGTCTTAGAGTTTAAACAGGGAATTCGATTTTCCTCCGGTACAGACGCGTTCGCGTTTCTCGGGCAGAAACAGACACACGGGAAATGAAGTAAAGAAATTTTAAAGGAACAAAAAAAGAAATAAAGGAGAGACAGAGAGCGAGACGAATGCGAGAGGAGGCGAACGTGAGGCACGAATGTACGGATGAATGAATGGGAGAGAATGTGTGGGCAAGTCGTTTTTTTAACGCAAAGATGCTAATTCGAAATAAAAGTTGAAGCATTGCCGCATACCATAGGATCTGTTTTAATTTACTCCAACCATTCCTTGCGACGAATCGATTATATCGTTTCCTTGAAAATAATACGCCGCCGTCGACCGAAGATCTAAGAAATATTTTTCTGAAACTCGTTTTCTCACTTATAAAAATTTTAATGAGATATCCATCTTTATTATTAATATCTTAAATGAATAGTAAAGAGGGAAGAATATTTCTTAGATCTTAAAAATATTTCTTGCTCAATTTTCTAATCAGTTTTGTCTTAAAATAATCCTAATTGGAACCATTCTTCACTAATACTTCAAGAATCGTGTTCTAACAATCCCTCCGAACAATATACAGTGAAAAATATACATATAATATCTCTCGTAATCGTAGTCAGTTCTCTGTTGGAACGATCGTTCTGGGGATCGGTTTTACTCGTTCTGATCTTCCGAGATCGGCTTCTTCGATTTGTCCAGGAACGTGGTGGTCGAGTTCATTCCAATCACGGTCGTGGTGGTCGTCTCGCTGACGGACGAGTCCCTTTTCCTGTATGTGTTTGACGGAGGGCAGTACAATCTGTAAATCACATCGTTAACACGTCCAAAACCGATCTACTATCCTAAATCGTCCCCATTTGATCGCGCCCTGGAATTTGGTTTCCTCTTAAACGGTAAACGAAATAATCATGTTCCCAGTTGCGAAAACTTCTCGCGACCGTGTCGACTGAAACACGGAAGAAAGACACGACCGCGTGTTTGACCGTTCATCTCGAAATCAATTATAAAGATTCAATTGAATATTAACACCATTTATTACGGATTAAGGGAATAGAATACCTTATACTCTCTGTTCTTGAACGGGGAGACCAATTGTTATAATACCTTCTTTCCGTGTCCAGATCGCGGGCCGTGGTCCATCGTACGATGTGGTGTTTCACCGTGTTTTGTACTTCGGTATTCAGAAAACAGTAAAACAACGCGACGAACAAGCCCTAGAATGATCAAATATATTCCTAAAGTCATTGTTCATACATCTTTTAATAAAGATTAAAATAATCTTGTTGAATGAAAAATAATCTCTATTGTGATGCACTGCTTAGTATAGAATTCACTGGCTCTTCCTAACTAAATAAATAATATTTTACCGGAAACACGTGGTGCGTGTAATATAAAACAAGTTATATCGTTTCTATTTGCATTCTTATAGTCCCTGAAGCGCGTAAATGTTTCCCGTGAGGGAATAAACAAGAGATATAAAATTCTTCTCCAAGTATTTTGTTCATAGAGGCTTTGAACTCTGCTTCTAAGGGGTAACAATGAAAATCGCGACCTCGTAGAAGAAATATTAAATAGTTCAGCCAGCAGTTTCATTATTTACTCTCGATCGGATGCATACATTCATTTTTACGAGATTACGAGATATTACTGGCAGATTTACGAAGTATGCCGAAGTATTTGATGCGTATGAAAATAACGAGAGCAAGCGGACTCACGGAGAGGAGGATTATTAGCTCAGTAACTTCATCCTGTGTACTCTTTCATGGATTAAACTTTCATAAAGGGTGAAAATTCTTTTGCCATCGTGAAAGGGATCTCTCGATTCCTTCTTGACAACGTACTTTCTTTAATATGATAGAAAAATTTGATAAAACCAGTTATTGCAGACGCAGTAAAATTTGAATGTCTTCAAAGTTTTGTTGAAAGACTTTAATTGCCTCGTTTGTGTTAAAAACTGCACATATTTTTTTTTATTATATTTTATACATGATTATATTTTTTTATTGTTGCAGAGATAAGTCCAAGTACTAAAGAAACGCATCGAGCAAAGTATTTTCATCGCTGGGAGAACATCTACAGGGAATATCCTTTTAATGTAATTTTTTTAAACCTAAAATTTAGCTATTAATTGTTTTACAAAATTAATAAAGGAATTATTTTTTCAATATACTACAAAATATATTTTATAACTGCTGTTGCGTTCTGATAATTCAACTTGTGTAACAAAAATGTGAAACATTGCGAACTTCTAGTATTTATTATGTGGAGAAAATAAATTTGTACTACAATAAATGAATCGTGAAACGATTATTTGAAACTACTCAATCACGTTGATTTTTAAAACCGCAACCTTCATGCCCGATAAAAAAAAAATGGAAGATAAGCAAAGAGCTGACACTTCGATTTTTGCTTATGTCGACAGAGACACATGAAAGTCGCTCACGTTCGCGGACGGACGTTGAAATTCGATAAAAATGTCAATATTCCTATCGCGCGTCAAATATTAAATAAGATATCTCAAAAACTATCAGGCAATCGCAATTTTAATATTAAATGGTCAAAAAAATAAACAAGTACTTGTGTAAAAAAAAAGATCATTGGATTGAATGAAAATGAATGAGTTAGATTAGAAAATTTTACTGGAATTCAATGACAAAGTATTACTTTTCCCAACCATTTTCCACTGGCGAAAAAGTAGCGAGCAGTATGCTTTCTGTAACGAGATACCGATTGCATTACCTACCTGTGAAGAAAGTAGTGCCGCTCGAACATAGAAGAACGCATTAGCAACCTGACCCTCGGTGGGACCCGCTAGCACCAGAACGTAAGTTACACCGAGGAGTGGTATCAGGACGAGCAACGCTTTGGTGGCTTTTCGATATTGCTGAGTTTCCGCGTTCGTTGCGGACCAGAGTTTCGTTATCAGTACCTGCAATCAAGGGATCGTTGCGATGCGATAGCCGGGGGAGAAAGGAAATCCCTTTCGCAACGTTCGATACGTAACACCGTGAGCGAAATATCAGCGAATAATTCTTTTTCTGAAATGGTGCTTTAATAATAAAAATACCGTAATTAGTATCCGTCGGGAATTCATCGGAGCTAATGAATTTTAACTGACTGCACGAACAAGTTACAAGCTTTAATTCCTTCGGAGGCCAACGGTACATGGAATCAGCGAAGTGCACGTACCTCGCAATTCTCTCAATTATCGTTATTTGCTGGTCGATCGGGCATCGACGTGTGTACCGTAAAGTGGACACTCACCCACATAATCATGAAGAGGAATATTACGTTTACGCAGAGGACGAAAATCGCGGGGGCTTGGTAGAACCAGTCGTAAGGGTGTGACACCATCCAGGGACAATGCTTGTCCAACGCGACATCCTGCGAACACAGTTGCCTATATGTTTATCGTCGGGAACTGGGCCAACGTTCGAGTTAACTTTACGAGCGAGCGGGTCGCGTCGTTAAGTTTCCTCTTTTCCTTGCGAACCGCGAAACGGCTCGTTTCCTATACGATGATAGGCTCTCTTCGTCTTCATTTTAAATGTTTAACACCGGTAATGCACTAGGCAAAATTTGTTATACTTTACCATAGCTAAATACGAACCTCTGTTTAATAGAAATGCAAAATCTGTACAAATTATTTACGATTTGACTTTACGAACTATCTTCAAAAAATTTATTTGAGAACGCTTTGAAATAAGAACAAAGCTTGTTAAATTCTTATTCTTTTTTTTATGTATTAATAAATCCATATTCGCTGTTTTATTCATTCAAATCCGGTGCACGCGGGTCTAAGAATAGAAGAATGGATACGATCAAAAATCGATACAGATCGATCGGGTTGAAATTCACGGGTGAAATATCGGGATAAGAGTTTCGAGACACGATCCACGTTAACGTGTCGGCGAAGTACGTGACGTGAACGGGGAACAAGCGGAAGAGCAGAACAGTCGATACACAATGGAAAAAGGTTTTCCCTTCGGAGAAGAATATATGGTACATGTCAATCAGTTGAGCGGTCGACCAAGAATTTTTCTCGCTAAACCGAACGCGAGTATTTCTTCACGGTACGGTTTTAATTTTCTACCAATCTAGACTGCGCATCCTTGTTCCTCGCTTTTTGTTTATTACGTAACCGGAAAAATGATAACGTGAGGTAACTTTCGCACTTATGAACTTGTGTAAGTCAAGGCAATGATATCTACTTTAATTCAACACTAGATTGCCGGATGTTTTTTGTTGCTGAAATTTTATTTTAAACAAATTTTATTCAAAACAATCTTATTTTTAAAATATATTGTCCGCAGATTTTATTATTACATTTAGTACAGACGCCTTTACCTCTATTTCTTTTGCATGATACTTGAACTTTGAATCTTGAATAATGAATCAAATTGACTCGCTCTGGCAATCTAGTGTTAACCGCACTAAATTGATACGTTGATTAATCAAAGTGTTTACTATGCGCCATATCTTCACGAAGATAGTTTCATATTATAAAATGATAAAGGTTTTTCTTACCCGATTTGGTTGAGGCATGATACTGTGATCTACCGACTTCGCAATGCTCCACATAACGATAAAAACGATCGGCAAACCTGGAATGAGATGACGTTAAACGAGATTGTTATAAACGTTATGTATAGTTCACGATTTCTTCGAGTATGTTCTTTAATTTCAAAAAAATAATACGAAATTCTAAGTGGAAAACTTTCTTGTACTTATCTCGAAGTGAGGAAATTTTTTCCAGAAATAAAAGAATACGATTGCATGGGAAAACGACGGAGTTAAAGCAAAAAGATAAAAAGGATGTTATGAAACTTTACCCCAGCCTATAATGAGACACAACCTCAGCTTGATATTATCGCCCGTGAAAGTCTTCACGACCAACAGGAACAGGTACAAGCCTGAAATAAATACGTATGCTCTGAGTATGTGTATTACACATATCTTTCAAATTTCATAAATTTGAAATAATGAAATAGTAAGGAGCTAATGTAAGATATCATTGTCAGAGAATGTTTCAAGTATGAATGAAAATATTGCATTTCTTATTCAATGTTGGATTTATTATGTATCAGAATGTTCATAAAAATATGTAAGCAAAATATGGATTACTTTCTTTGATCTATTTTTATGTTGATTCATAAACACTAGAAACGTTCTATTACAATTAGTGATGTTCAACATCGATAAGCTTTTATCATTAAAAATACTAAAATATTTATATTTATGAGTTTATGAGATCTCATTCCTGATATTCATAGATTGTTGTTTAAAATATATATCGAAAGCTGTGATTTACCTTCTACGAACATCCAAAAGTAATTAGTCAATTGGAAATAATTTAGCAGAAACAGGAAGATTACGCAGGTTGGCACGTCGGGCTGCATGGATACCTGCAGAAATAATTTATTCGAAATAAATATATGAATGCTTGATTTTCTATAGAAACTACTGTACACATTATATATAAAAAAGCTTTTAATTCTGCAATGCTCAACACGATTCACTGTCTATCAACGTAAAAATCTGTTAGTTTCTTATGCACGAAATGTGTGTTGAAATTTTCTTTAACAAAAGTCAGACGATACGAGGTGCATGGGCTAGCAATTAAAAACAGTCGGTCGAGCGGATTCTACGCGATTCCAATTTCAGGGTAATCGTTCGGCTGTCCGCATTGGCCTTTTAATTATCGAAAAACCGAAAACGTTGCGCCGCACATACCGTGCCACGTCGCCGTGGCTGTAATTAATTTTCCCTTCTGCTGGCTCGTTAGCGCGGTTACCAGAGATTTTGAGACCAATGGACAAACGCGTTTCTGATCAGCTCCGAAAAAATTCGACGCCACCGAACGAATTTGGCCCAAATTGCTGGCAAAGCTAGCTCGCAAAATTCGTTTGTTGAACGAGGGACAAAAAATTAATAAAACTCTATATCAAGAATCTTTGATATAATCTTCGCAGTTTTTTAGATTGTGTTTAAAACAGCGTCCTTTTATTATTTGAAGAATTTATGCAACGTGGAATTTCTAATGTTAAAAGGGCTGACGTAACGGCGTTGAAATAAATTACAAGAGAAATGACATTGTTCGGAAGCATAATAGAAATTGCACATTATAAGTTTGCTTTGTTAAATTACTCGCTTTTGAATTACATTTGTTACGCTGAGAATGATTCTCGTTCACGAGCCATTCTAGCTTAATTAACCATGAAAATATTAGCAATTAACGTTACGGTCCCGTAATATTCGCTTACTATTTGTAAACACGTAGCAATAAATTATACTTGCGCTTCTCTTTGACGGAATCGAGGCGGGTAATGAAAATTGATTCTATCTTGGAATTTGTCAAACAACAACGCGAAGCCAGCTTATCAAATATCTTCATTCCGTTGCGCGGATAAGGGAAAATAAATTTCTTTCGAGGTGCTTTCGCAAGGGAATACTTATTCTAATTTCGCGTTTCAGCAACAAGTGGCGGCGTTTCAGTATCACCCATTTTGTAGGTCAACCACCTTCGACCTCGGAGGCCAGCTTTAAACTCAATTACTCCTCTTGTTTTTTTATTTGCTCCCACAAGTGAAAATGGATTTTACGGTCGAAGGGAGGCGAATCTCAGCGAGGATCGAACAACAGTCGTCGCTTCGAACATGCAAACACTTTATTCGTTCTCTAAAATAGTAAATATCGAAATACTTTATTGCACGTTTCACGAGCGTACCTGCATCACGTTGTTTAGGATCCACATGAGATCTGCGAGGATGTAGGTAAGCATCAGGTTCGTGTGTATGTTGTTCCTGACGCATCTCAGCTCTCTGTAATAAAGATAATTGAAGCATAAAGGCATGTTCCATAAACCCAATCTTTTTTCTCTACTTTCTATTCCTGTCCTAATCAGCTTTTGCCCGTAAACATCGTTAAACTACACGTTAATCTACACTGCTGTTACTGTATACGTATAATGAATTTCTATTGGGAAATGAAATTACCGAAGTTACCTGTATCGCGTACGCACAGTGCTTCATCGCACTTTGTTCGATGTTACGAGGCGATATTATTACTTTCATAACGCAGGAAAATCACTTTTCGTCGTTGATAATGACGTTCCGCAATACCGAACGGAAAGTTTGCATTACGTTTATGGTTTCTGCGTGCTGGTAACTTCGACCGCGAGTAAACACCGTGAAAATTTCTTTCACCTCTTTTCCCGTACACCGATTAAGCCCGATAAAGCCGCGGGAAAATCCTTTTTGATCGTGTTCCATAATTACGTTTAATATCGTGTAAAAGTGTACAAAACCTCTTCTACTATAAGAGAACGGTAATTGTTATTGTAGTCAATGAAATCGATAATTGTTCTTCTCCCACTTGGAATTTTTCGTAAAGATAGAAAACGTTTATTTCTTTTCTATTTGCGATCGTTCAATTTCGCTCGCGTGATCTCGTCGTACGCGCGTCTGTGTATGTTAGTCGGTGTTCGCAGGATTTATCTGCACGAAAGCTCGAGTAACGAGGTAATTCCTGAATCGGACGCGCGCACAACAAACCGTGAATCGCGTTGTTCCGAGTGAAGGAAATTGTTACGACATCCCTTGCGACGCGGCGGCGGTGGGTACGATGGAAACAAACGGTGGAGTGCCGTGATTCCTAGTTGAATTTTCTCGGCTGCATATACATCAGGACGTCGAGTGTTTAAGTAGTTTAACCAAAGTTCGAGCCGAGTTTTGTCCCTGCGCTGGATGAAGAGGAGAGATAAATGCCGCGCGACGGTGTGCAGCGTGTGCGCTCGCTGGATAATTTCAGTGGAACGAGCCGGAATTAGTCAGACGTCGGGAGATTCCCCGCGAGATCGATTAGGTCAAGGGGACACGTGCTTCATAAGATTCTACGACCTGTCTTTTCCAGTACTTCTGTTCAATACGAGCGATCAGACGGTTGTTACGAGGCTGACAATTGGTTATATATTCTTTACAGATTCATACTTATTGATTAAAGGCGGCTGGAAATGAAATTAATGATATAAATTGTAGGAAATTTCATAATAGAATGAAATCATATATTCACTGTAATCAGCAAGTGTGAATGTCGTATTATTAAGCTATCATATATTAAGTAATTTCGTAGGATATACAAGTGTTCATGTATATTATTTACTTTATATTATTTATTTATTTTATTATTTTTATATTATGTATTGTAATTATCGTCGCTGTCGCTATGTCGCTACAAGGTGGATGTGACTTTAATAAATAAAAAAGAGAAACCTCTCTATCTTTCAACTATGAAACTATTAAACACTTTCTTAATTTTTGCAAAGATTCATAAACTTAACTCGAATCAATTTTCCAGGCATACTTCTAATTATTCTAAACAATTTCATTCGATTATTAATCTTGATATTCACAGCGTTGTGGCAAGAGAAGTGAGCAGTTCTTTCTAATTCCTGCTGCAATTTCTTACAAAAGAACAAACGAGATTAGCGTTTACGCATTATTAAAAAGGGTCACACCGCCCGCGCGGAGATCGTAAAAAAATCCGACGGCCGTGCAGAATTCGTTTGAATTCGCGTATTACGTTTCGGATGAAAAGAGATCCGGTAACAAGCCTCCGAGTTAGTTCCAGGCGAAAACCGTCCCGAATAATCCAAAGAGATGAGGGTACAACGATAGCCGGGTTCTTTTATCCCTTCGTCGGTGAATAAAAAACTAATTTTCCTCGGTATAACTCAAGACCTAAGATCTAGTTAATTCACCAAAGAGCGTCTACGTCGGTGCTCGGGGGAGAATAAAATAGTTTTCGATCAACGAAAGCGAGCATCACGCAGCCCTAGTATGTCATAAGAAAATAGTCCCGAGAGAAGAATTGATATGACGATGTGGGGAGAATAATTGGAATTTTTCGATTGTACGTCGACGGAAATAGGTGAAGGTAATTTTTCTAATTTAATGTGTTGCATTCTTCATTCCCGTTGAAGATGAAAAATAATTTTTAGAAGAATCTAGTCCATTAAGCGGGCACGATCTGTGGACAGAATGCTGCTAAAATATTATCCAAGCAGACGATATATCTCGTAGACCACGTTTCAATAAATCATGGAACCACTCGAAGCTATGGATTCGTCTCGGAAGTACATATGTATTTTGAGTCCCAAACGTGCTTAATAAAATATTCGGACGCGCTAATGCTTGTCCGAGGAGTATATGGACGTTGGATTACGCGTTTCCAGTTTCAGTTTGTATTTCCGGGATTCATAGCCGCTTTCCCCAGTTAGCTTTTGACCCGAAAGCTCAAGAAGAGATCCGACCTTAATGGCAGCTAATAACTTCCGTATCGGTGCACCGGCCTTTTAACCTGTTGCCATCCCGTCGCTATGGAACGCGACGGATAACAGCCTTCCGATCATCGATTTTGTGTACGCAGTTCTCCTGATACGAAGCGATCGACACATTTCGAATGTGACTCTCGTCGTTATTAAATCTTGTAATATGATTTTAAAAGTTAATAAAAAATGTAATCTATAGAATCTAGTTCATTTTTAATCAAGTTTATTGAAATGCAAACTATGTTTATAGAATAAATGCAAATGTATATCACTTTGTTTCATCTCAAAGACGCCGAAAATTGAAGTTTACTCGCGAAACAAGTAAACCTCGCGACGCCTTCTTTGGTATTCATCGTGCAAATGTGATGTCAGAGATAATTGCTAGCCGAAATAGAACAAACGGAGCTACGAGATAAGCTTCAAAGTATTAACTTTGCTTCATTGCGAAGTTTCCGGAGGATAATGGAATTACGAAACAGGATGGGAATTTTAGAAAGCACGAATAATGGAAAGAAGACTCAAATTTTCATCACGTAGAAGCTTCGTGCCAAATAACTCAATAGTTGCTCATTGATTTTTTAAAATTATTCTATTTCCGCGCAGGGAAATCACCTGCAATGAGGGAAGACGTTCACTCTAACACTGCACGACGAATTTAAATAAATTGAAACGTGTATTTCCTCGGAGGTCTATAAACGAAATGTATCATTTTGTTTGAGGAGAATCGTTTGCGACGGAGAGAGACTGGCGGGGCAACAAACGGAATTTTATGCAAATTCAGATTTCCATAGAACGGACATTTCTCAAAGGGCCGGGGGATTTCTCAAGCAACCGGGAACGTGTCAATTCTCCTGGAATGAAAATCGCTTACTTGCAATAGAGGAAGATGGAGACGGCAATGACGAGGGTTAACAAAGAGACGCTGTACCCAACGAAGTAAATGGTCGTCGAAATGACCTCGACCCCGCCCTCGATCGCCGGCTCGCGGACGTTGTGGCACAGACTGTAGTTGCTATAGGTGCTCCAGGTACCGTCCAGGTCGCACCAGCGGCTCGCGTTCTCTGTAACAATCCAGATTAGCCGCATTAGTATTCATGATTTAACGTGCCGTTTTTCTCTCGTCGCCGCATCGCGCCACGCACTGTAATTACTTTTATCGCGAACGGAAACACGGACGACAGGGGTTTGTTACACGTAGCCGGTGTAAAAATCGAAGGATATTTCCCGCGGGCACACTGGAACTTCAAATAAACTGATTCCGCGGCGAAAGTTGCATGGAATTTAGTTTTCAAAATGGAATATCCGGGCGATGGTTACCTTTTAACTTTTATGCAAGAATTTATCTTCATGCTAGTAAAAGTAAGGTTGAAATAATAGATCGGATTTTTTAATTCTTTTGTTAATTAAAACTTTTAAAAAAAATTTGTAATGACATGGAAACGTTGTATTTCTGAATTGTATGTCGTTTGTTAAAACTAGTTCGTATTCCGTTCTGTTATTTTCCTGATCCGTTCTCATTCAATATTTTTGAGCAACGGCTGTGATAAAAAGGAAAGTTTCGCAGATACTGTGAAATATGAAAGCAATGTTTTCAATAGCAATAAAATTTTCTTTGATTCCGCTGCGATCGATATTCTCCGGCGCGTGTGCGCGGAACATTTAAATATAAATGTGGCAAGTTTAACCGGCACGCGGTTGAAATTGAAGAATTTTCAGCGTCGATCCCATTGGGGCGAAGATACGACGCGACGGGATGGTGCAACATGGCAGATATTTGCGGAAACGCGGCTCGTCAACGGATGTCGGTCGGTTGTTACATTATTCACGAACAGCGAAAGAAACTGTCTGCCTAATCGATAAGCCCAGGTGGTGCGAGGAAAGGTCGTTCGTAAAACGCGTCATCGGTTTCAGAGGATGTCCGAGTTTCTTCATTTAGACGAAACACTGTACCTGTTCCATAATTAAGTAATGACGCAGAGCTTCCTCGCGACAGAACAAATTTAACGTTCTTTTTTTAGTCAACGCGTATCCACATTTAATGCACTCGTGAACATCTACGAAAAATAATAGCACGTGTTTCATTAAACATATTCGATTGACAAATTTTCGTTCTATCATCAATTCCGATCTTTTTTTTACAATCATTCGTGCTGTATAAAAAAGTCTCAATGGAATCGCTTGTTTTTAGACGTTGGCGCAGAGCTGGTGATTAACGAAGAGGAAAAATCCGATAGTAACAAATCTAAGGCACCCTCGTTATTCTTGATGTTCTTTCTTTTTGCTCTGAGACTCGGTTTCATTACGTAATTACTTGTTCCGTCGGAACGCGGAAATAATATTCAAACGAACAGATAGAATTTATTACAAACAGTAAGAACAGATTTAAGTTAAAATTAATCATAAGAATTCGTAATGGAAAGCTTAATAGAATTGTGTTTATTTAGGAAAATCATTTTTAAACTCTACGTTAACTTCGTACAATTTATGAAGAGCACTTTTCTTCCCTCGTCTTCGGTTGGATTCATCCATCACGTAATGAAAAACAATTTGGTGAGGCGGTTGCCAATCTTCCATTTTCAGACCTACCAATTTCGAGGTTTGCGCGAAAATATTTACGCCTGTTTCGAATCATCTCTACAATCGACTCTGACACTTTCTCCAACTCTTAGCGTACGTCGGGCTACATATATTTATAAAAGCGCGATTTATAGACAGCGTGCTTCTAAAGGACAGGCAAAGTTTTACAACCCTGTTGCTCTTCCGTACGAACGTGTCATGCGAGGCGGTTCCACAAGAAACTGGGTCGAGCTATGCTTCTCTACGAAATAAAATTGAAACAAGTCCCCTGACTTTTATCATCATTCTCGTTAACATTTTCCAATCGAGATAATATAATAATGAAAATAAATTACGGCTACTTTTATATCTTCTGATCTTCCGTCAAGAACCTTTGACTTGTTTAATATTCGACTTATAAAGACTTCAGACATGCAAGAATTGCATTAACCCTTAACGCTCCAAGTGTGCCTCTCAAGCACCTCCTAAGCTACTTAATTATAATTAATATAAATTTGATACGATAGTAGAAAATTGTATACGACC